TGAAAAAGATAAATGAAAAACTAAGAACAAAGAAAACAAGGTTAAATCATCTCTTGAACCCTCCCCCAAACTTAAATCACACAGTCCCTTGTGTGAGAAAAATTCAGTGAAAGATTCAAGAGGGCAAAACCAAGAAAAAACAAGAACAAAGAAAGAAAATATGAAATGGTATATACAAGGGTTGGTGTTTGGATACCTCAGTGTCCCCCAAAGAACTGGGAGACTAGGTCGTGGTCTGGAGATGGGAGACGGCCATCAGGAGCGCTCCATGCAACTGGGGTTGCCTCTTGGCTCACTCGATCGAGCTTGTGGCTCCTCTTCCTCCTCTTCTTCATCTTCAAAGTGGGTGTGGCTTCCTTGGCCTTGGTGGAGCATTGGTAGCTCGTACTGTCCATAGGGGTTCCATCTACTCCGGGGAGGCTCCTGGTAAGGCATGGGATCGTATTCAAATCCCGGATCCTCGAACTGGGGCTCCTCCTGGTCAGCTCGACCGTCAGCTCGATCGAGTTGAGTTTCCTCTGTTTGGACTCGATCGAGTCCGGTGGTCGAGCTGGAGCGTCTGGCCTTGGAAGTCTTCCTCCTTCTCTGCGTGTTGTCTTCTCCTTCCCTTGGCTCGAAAGAAGAGGCTCTGTGAGGCTCTTGGGCAGGGAGCCTCCTTGGGTGGTGAGGAGTGATCTTCCTAGGGAATGTGGGGGCCTTGGACTTCTTCTTCTTGCTTGAAGAACCAGAAACCTTCTTCTCCAAACTTTTGATCTTGCTCACCATCTTGTCCATGGACTTTTGCATCTTCTCAATGGCTTTCCCTTGCCATTTGTTGAACTTTTGGAGAAGTCCAATCCTCTTGTGGCAGCCACAACAGAGGGGTTCATCCTTGGAGCCTCATACTCCTCAAAGTAATAGCACTCAGGCTCACCCAAATCCGCACTCTCCTGGCCTGATCTTCAGCTCGATCCTCAGCTCGACTCAGCTCGATCGAGCTCAGGCTCCTCTTCTCGCATCATCCTCATGCCCAACTAATGTGTACACAGGGGGTCTGAAGTCAATGTTCTCACCCCTTGCTACTGTGGTGAGCTCTGGGTTAGGCAGGAGAAGCTTGGAGGGTCCAGCCAATGGATGTGTGAACTTGAATTGGAATCTCCCATCCAACTCCTTGTGCTCAATGAGAAGGTTGGTCTTGCAAAACTTGATGTCCATCCAACCTGGTTCAGTGGCTCTCTATCAGTTGGGTTCACTCCAGCAGCACACAAGATAGGTGTGATGAGTCCTCCAACACTTAAGCCTCCCTCGTTGATGCCTAGTGTTGTAAGCTGTGATCTTGTAGGTAAGGAGATGGTCAAGGAAGGCATCAAGTTCCCTGTGTCAGATCTATCTCCCCTGATCCTCTTGCCATCGCTTGTGCGTGAGAGAAGGGCTTGATTCCCATGTCAAGAAACTTGAGTTCCCCCTCGTTGATTGTCCCGGTCGCCTTCCTTGCAAAGAAGGTGTTGGCAAGTGCCTTGTGCACATATCTCAAGACTGGGCTCCTGATCTGAGCTGCCTTGGACCTTGAGGAAGAGTACACTCCATCAGCGATTGTAGCCCAAACCCTTTGGAGTTCCTTTTCCTTGAAGTTCCACTTGGTTCCCTCTCCATAGTTGAACCCAAACAAGATCTCCAGCTGCCTAAAGGTCACCATTCTCTTCTCTCCCTTAGCCAAGAACGTGATCCATCCCAATCCTTGGTCCAAATCAGCTCTATCTTCCTCTTCATACATGTGATACCTCATTGAAGCTAAGAACTCACAAGTGAGCTCCTTGTAGGATTCCATGTGGTAAGAGAAGAACTTGGCCAAGTGCATGTTCTTGAGACCAAGCTCCACATCCTCAAAGATTCCAAGGGCCTTCATGTGTCAACATGTGGGTACTTGGTGTCCATGAAGTCCATGGAGAAGAGAGCATTGTAGTGCTCTTGGTACATGGGGAGCTCATCCTCCTCTTGCTCTTCCTCAACTCTTCCATGGGCACATCTTGGTTCCCTCTTGCTCATCTCATCAACCAATTGATTCACCTCTTCTCCTTCCTCTTCACTCTCAGTTCATCACTCCTTCTTCACTTGGAGAGCCATTTCCCTCCTCTTGAACAAGGTTCACTCCAATCTCAAACTCCCCTTGCTCACTCTCACTACTAATGGATCATTCCTCTTCTTGGTTCTCCTTTCTCCCTCAATCTCTCACTCTTCAGACTGTCCTCAGAGTACATATCCTCTGCATCAGATCTTCCATCCTCTGATCCATCCTCTTCCAAATCGGCTTGCATCTTAAGCCTTTCTCTCTTGCATTGCTTGATTCACCCTCAACCATTCTCCTCTGTGAAGCGCGGCTTCCCTCACTGTTTGTCATCTTGACTTGTTTCTTCACTAAAGTACCTGAAATGCATCAAAGATTACAAAGAATTAGAGTTGTAATGATCGGTTTGGTCAACTCGACACTCAGCTCGATCGAGTCAAAAAACTCGAGTGACAAACTCGATCGAGTTGGGTGAAAACAGAGTATAACCAACCTAATTCAAGTATTAAGAGCTGGAAAGGATGCTAATCAATCAAATTGAACCAAGAACAACTAGTAAATGGAACAATGAGCAATTCTAGTGAAAACTAGCATCTTAACCAATACCAAACTCAAATTCAATTTTCAAGCACATGCAACAAGTTCTAATGGCAAAACAGAGGTGAGGTGAAGCAAACTAACAAGATATACAGCAGAGTGAAATATGAGCAAATTCAAGAACAAGTCCACAAGGGACACATGCAATCAAAAATCAAGAGGAAACAAGCAATAATGGAAATCGAGATGGAGAATCAAGGGTTTTAGGGTTCATACCTTGCTTGAATGATGGAATTGAAGAGCAGTAAACTAGAACCCAAACAAATGAAGCAACAAGAGAAATCGCAAAAACTTAAGAGAGAAAGAGGATTCGAAAAATTTTCTTGTGGTGAAGAGAGAGAGATGATTTCAGAAATTTTAAGTGTGGGAGAGAGAGAGGTGGATTCGATCGAGTTATGGGGAAGAGGGAGTTTTGAGATGTGTGGTTGAGATTAAAAGATGAAATAAAGAGGGAACAAGAAGCTAGGGATTCTCTGATCAAATTAGGGTAGTGGGGGACCAAAATCAGCTTGTGGGACCCACTCCCTTGACCAAGAAAACGGTTATGAATTTGAAATTCAAAAACTTACCTCGGTCGAGTTGTGGAACTCGATCGAGTTGCCCTGGTTTCTAGCTCGATCGAGCTGTCGGTCGAGCTGGCTCCTTGACACCTAAACTTAACTTATTGAAGGTTAAAACATAAAGATAGATAGAAATTGCATAAATAGAGTATGTACAAGGATAAACATGGGACTTCCTCCCAAGTGAGCTTGTTTAAGGTCCCATAGCTTGACCTTTACCTTCTTAGGCATTGGTTGAGCTAGTCCCACCATCAAGGGTGATAGTGAGGACTTGAGACAGAAGCTCCTTTAGCTTGGTTGGGTCCCTGGACTGTTCTGAAGTCACCAAGGCCTTGGCTCTAGAGAATGGCCTTGATCTCCCCTTGTACCTTATCTTGTACTCAATCTTCCCATTTTCAAACTTGGTGGGGAACAAAGTCATTGTGAGCTGAGATGGCTTGACTGAAGGGGCCTGAGCTGGTGGATCCTTTCTTTTATCTCCTGGTCTTGCCTTAGAGGCTGCATCCTCCCCTTCTTGTAGAGCCCTTCCTAGTGGCTCATCAAACAAAGCTTGAAGGCTCTCTTCATCAAGCACACAAGGGGCTTGAACAAGTCGCTCAGCTCTTGGCCTATCAGATCGTGGTTTCTCAACTCTAGCCCTCTCAAGACGTGGCTTCTCAATCCTTGGTCCTCTCTCATCCTTATCCTTCCCAACTCTTGGTTCCTTGTCAACCCTTTCCTTCACAACCTTTGTAGCTCCATGACTCTTAGAACTGAGATTGGTACTGTCAATTGTGGCACAAAAGTCTGAACCTCTAGGCTGCAAGCGATATGACACCAAACTATTCACCTTGTGAAGGATCACTTCTTGCTTGTGAAAGTCAATTGAAGCGCCAACTGTACTAAGGAAAGGGGTTCCCAATAACAAGGCAAATCCTTCTCTTCTTCCATTTCCATCACAGTGAGATCAGTTTGGATGATGCATTCTCCAATTTTCAAGTGATAGTTCTTGAACACTCCAAGAGGAGACTTAGAAGTTGCATCTCCAAACATGATTGAAGTAGTAGGGCGCTGCAAGGCTCCAGCAATGCCTAGCTTCTCTGCCATGGAGAGAGAGATCAGATTGATGCTTGCTCCAGAATCCACTAAGGCATTGTCAATCTCAAGATGCCCAAGTGTGCAAGGGAGAGTGAATTTCCCTTGATCCTTGACCTTTGGTAGGAAGGTGGGTGAAGTAAGCAGGTTGAACTGATGAGTAGACTCTTGTAGGACCTCTGAAACTTTATCACTGTTGGCAGAAACATCCTTGACCATTTGCATTTGATCAAATGCCTCACTCATGCTATCCATAGGAGGCAACTCAATTCCAATCCCACTGAGATCTCTTCTGAACTTGTGAATCACTTCCTTGTGACCTTGACTAAGTAGGCGAGACGAGGAAGCGGCAACCGGTTGATAAGGATCAAGCAAAACAGGCTGTCGGACAGAAGAGGTCGGACTCGATCGAGCTAGAGTTGGACTCGATCGAGCTGCCGATCGAGCTTGTCGTGCGAGCTCAACTGGTGAAGTGTGAATGGCCACAGTAGGTGCATGCACTTCTGGTTGATCAATCTGGACTCCAGGAGCCTCAGCAGCAACAATCTCTTCATCATTCAGCAGTAAACAAAAATCTTCAATGACCCTTTCTTGATCCTCTTCTTCAACAAGTCCTTCTTGAGTGAAGATGACCTTGCACTGTTCCTTGGGGTTCTGAATAGCTTTACCAGGTAGTTGTCCTTGCTTTGTAGCAGCAGCAACAGAAGAAGCATGATTCTCCAGAGAGTAAACCCTTGTGTTGAGGTTCTCGATCTTAGAGTTTATTTCAGCTAGCTTCTTGCTTGTGTCCACTACCCCATCAGCTTGCCCTTGAAGTAGTTGCTTTAGCATTGCCTTGAGCTCATTCTCTTGTGAAGGTGCAGGCTGGGGCGGTTGGTGGGGGAAGCCTGGTGGGATATTCATTTGTTGTCCAGGGAAAGTGCCTTGTGGTCCTTGGTAATTGTTCTTTTGACCATACCCATGTTGTGGCACCTGACTCGATCGAGCTGCTTGTTGTTGAGGATATACTTGGTCCTGAGGGTTAGCAACATCAGTGTTGCGGTATGACATGGCAGGGTTGGACTTGTAATTATAGTATCCTTTGTTGTAACCTCCTTGCCCATTGCTCATGTAGCACACCTCAGCAAATTGTGTATCCTCCCCTTCTTGGACTGGTTCCATCTCCTCAGCAGACACAAAGTTGACTTTCTTCATTGTGGACTGAGCTAGGATCAGCTTATCCAACTTCTCATTCAATGCCTTAACATCTTTTCTCAACTTTTCGTCTGACTCGATCGAGTGGTGGGTCGAGCTCCGGTTGGTGCGATCATACTCTTCTCCATAGCTTCCATTTGAGTTAGCTATGTTCTCCACAAGTTGCCAGCCATCATCTACATCCTGGTTGAGGAAGTTCCCATTGCTAGCTGTGTCTAGCATCTCCCTATACCTAGGCAAGCATCCTCTATAAAGAGTGGAGAGTAGGATTCATTGTTGAATCCATGGTGTGGGCACTGACTTGTGTAGCCTTTGAACCTCTCCCAAGCCTCTGCGAATGTCTCATTGTTTCGCTGGATGAAGCTGGATATCTCTCCTCTAAGCTTGGCTGTGCGACCGGTGGAGAAAAACTTAGCAAGAAAGGCCTTCTTGCATTCATCCCAAGTGGTGATTGTGCCATGGGGCAAGCTCTTCTCCCATTGGTGAGCTTTGTCAGCTAGAGACATAGGAAAGAGTCTCAGCTTGATGGCATCTTCAGAGACACCATTGATCTTTGTCAAATCACAAAGCCTATCAAACTCATCAAGGTGGTCAATGGGGTCTTCACTTGGCAATCCATGGAACATCTTGTTCTGGACAAGGTTGATCATTCCCAGCTTGATCTCAAAGTTGTGGTTCTGCACTGGTGGTGGAACAATCCCTTGTCTCTGTTGGTGGCGGTTTGGAGCATCTCCTTGACCAATCGGTCGAGTTTGCCTAGCTCGACCGAGTCCATTACCCAAAGGGTTTCCATTCCCCTCTGGTACATCCATTGTATCAGCAACAAGCACCTCAGGTTCCTCTTGTACCCTCTGTGACCTCTGAACCCTCTTTCTACCCGTTGTAATGTCTAGCTCGACCAAGTCTTCAGTTGACCGACTCGATCGAGTTCGCATACACCTGCAAAAAGAGACAAAAACCCAGCAGTACAATAGAACAGGGGTGGTATAGCTTGATCGTCCAAGTGTGTTTGAAACTCAAATGCAACAAAAATATTCCCAAATCGGCAACGGCGCCAAATTGATGATAGGATTTGTGTGTGGATGTGATATGAAATGAGGTGGAATGCAAACAGGGTGAATAAAGATGATGGTATGGTGCAAACACAATCAATCAATTCCTCTTAACCATCATAGTCATTGAAGTATAAGAGGTTATCAATCCAAAATGGGAAACTTGTCACTCTTTGAGAATATGAAACAACCAGAAAGTCAAGCAAGCAGTTATAGATTTGAAGTAACACTAACAACCTAAAGAAATGAAAAGCAGTGCAATAAAAGTAAACAAAGCAGTGAAGTGTCAGCTCGACCAAGAGCTCGAGTCGAGTAGAGCAAAGTACCAGCTCGATCGAGTTTAGGGACGAGTTGAGACAAACAAAGCTAAAGGTGACGACTTTAACAAGATAAAGAGAGAATTAGGGTTCAAGACAGGGTTTTGCAATCAAAGGAATCTACACTTAATCAATCTAGCTCTTAAAACTCCTTGTATCAAGGCTTCTCTTGATATTGGGCTTCTCAATGCCTAGCCAACCCTTTCCCAAGGTGGAGGCTATCAACCAAGGAATGATCTCAGAAACAGGGGGTTAGCCAGTGAGAATCAAACCTTGGAGGCTATAGGATCATTGCCCAAACTAATCCATCCAACCCCTTAGACCTCTATTGTCTAGAGCAAGAGATATTGGAGCTCTTAGTGGATCTTTTCCAGCGAATGCCATCACTTTCGTGTGGGGAGTCGCCTAAGGACTTACAAGCCAGGGGTAGTGGTCATGTAGCCTTAAGATCTATCCAAAAGAGAGAGAATCTAGATTAAGACCATAAGCTAGAAGGATTAAGCATATGAAACCTCTAATCTATCCCATCTCAAACCCCAATGGGTAACTACTCACTACACATGAATGTAAACACAAGCAAATGCAATAAAAGAGACATCATAAGAAAGAGGAGATGAAATTAAACAACTTTTATTGAAATAAGCAAGTGCAAATACAAAGAGATTATCCAGGATCTAGGATTCAAGAAGCAAGAGCTTCAAGAACACAAAGATGGGATTAGATCTCTAAAAAGTAAAAGACAATAAATTAAAAGAAACTAAAACAAAATAATCTAAAGCTTGGTGGTTTTTTCGTGGCTTAGAGCCTTTAAATACAAGAGGATTAGGTTTAGGGTCAAAGGAAAGTCAAGGGGGAAGCAACATTTTTCGGGTTTGACTTTGACTTCTCAGCTCGATCGAGTTGAAGCTTGGCCGGTCGAGTTGAGGAACTCGACCGGTTGGTCGAGTGGACGGTCGAGCTGGTCTTCAAGATGGCTTCTCCCTTCTTCCTTTGCGTATCCAGTTGAGCTGCTTCCATGTGCCAAGTCCCTCCATGCTCCTTGTCCCATATGCTCCAGAATGCTCCAAAAGACCTATTTCAAAGGACCAAACATGCATATGTATGCAAATGCAACCTAAAACTAACATGAATGCATAAGAAGAGAAAAGGAACAAGATATGATGCAAATGGAAGCTAAAACTATGCAAAAGATGCATAAAAGATGTGCTAAAACTATGTAAAATGCAAGTACATCAAAATACAGAAGAGATTATCCAGGATCTAGGATTCAAGAAGCAAGAGCTTCAAGAACACAAAGATTGGATTAGAGCTCTAAAAAGTAAAAGACAATAATTAAAAGAAACTAAAACAAAAGTAATCTAAAGCTTGGTGTTTTTTCGTGGCTTTTAGCCTTTAAATACAAGACAAAGGAAAGTCAAGGGGGAAGCAACATTTTTCGGGTTTGACTTTGACTTCTCAGCTCGATCGAGTTGAAGCTTGGCCGGTCGAGTTGAGGAACTCGACCGGTGGTCGAGTAGGTGGTCGAGCTGGTCTCCTCACGTCCCATATGCTCCAAATGCTCCAAAAGACCTATTTCAAAGGACCAAACATGCATATGTATGCAAATGCAACCTAAAACTACTATGAATGCATAAGAAGAGAAAAGGAACAAGATATGATGCATGCAAAAGATGCATACTAAAACTATGTAAAATGCAAGTACATCAACACCCCCAAACTTGACCTTTGCTTGCCCTCAAGCAAACAAATAGAACAAGAAAGAGATGAGGTTTGAAAACAAGTTGATTCAACACTTAAAAACATGTCCTCAAAAGCGATTTGCTAAATGTCCAACTTAGAGATTCTAGAATGCAACAAGGTGAGAGATATTCATTAAGATTTAACCATGCTTATCAACATCAATCCCACTTCACAGTCACTCAAACAATGCATTCAAATCAGCAAATCCCTTTAACATTCATTAAGCAAAAACAGTGAACCAAAAACATGCAAGATCAATCAACTCATTTGGTTTCAAGGGTTTATGGGTTAAGAGACAAAGAGGGTCTCTTTTGTATGGTGGTTTAGTAACAGGGATCTCTCAAGAAAGTGGCTTTGCTTTGGCAGAAGGCTAAGTGTTAGAACCAAAGATGATGCAAGAACAGCAGCTCGAGCCGTCCTAATCCTAACTCGATCGAGTTCAACACTTAGAGCTTTTTAGAACAAAATCCTAACTACCCTTTTTGGCATTTCGCCTTTGAAACTGAGGAGCTTTGCTCACTTTTCTTTTAAGAACTTCCTAGGGAGAGGCTTCTTGAGGTAACATCTAGCGGTTTGGGATTTTCTAAACACTTAGGGAACTTTTCTTTCTTTTTGACACTTGAGGCTTTGCCTTCTTTTCTTTCTACTTAGAACCCTTTTTACTTTCCTTTTTTAACTTCCCAAACCTTTACTAGACCCTTTTTAACACTGCCAACTCCCTGGACTTAACTAAACTCTTTTTCCTTTGGATTTTCCCAACTTTTACCACTTTTCTGGTTTTTACACCCAACTCGATCGAGCTCGAGTTGGCACCCCCAAACTTAGCCTGAAAACAATCCCAAGAGAACTAGACAACTAGAACTACTGCCCCTGCCGGTTTAAACACAACACCTTATGCTAAGCAAAGCCAAGAAAGGTTCTCACAATCGCACAAGAGATAATAATGGGGTTTGAAATGAAAAGGCTTAGGTTTAAGGTGTGGTAACTGTCTCAAAGATGGAGATCAGCTATCTGGACAAGCAAGAGGGATATGAAAATAGGTAAAGAATGTCCAGATATGTATGTGGTAGCCATGAGTTGAAATCAAATGCAAGCATTGGTAATTAAAGATCAAGTTATGGTTCAAATAGATAGGGAAATGCATCAAATCACAGCAATGGTTGAATGAGATGTGCATGCAGTGATATGATCAAGATAAACATGGTTCTTGCTGCTCAATCAATCTCACCCTAATGCACAAAAGAATCTAAAAACAGGGCACTCAAGAAATCGCAAATGATGAACAAGTTTTCAAAATCAAATCAACAATGCAAGTGAAAGATGCAATCCTAAACAATCTAAGAAATATGAATGCAAAAAGATGAAAATATTTTTGGATTTTTTGAAAATTTTATGATTTTTTTGGTTTTTCTATGCAAAAGATGAATGAAAAACTAAGAACAAAGAAAACAAGGTTAAATCATCTCTTGAACCCTCCCCCAAACTTAAATCACACAGTCCCTTGTGTGAGAGAAATTTAGTGAAAGATTCAAGAGGGCAAAAACCAAGAAAAAAAAACAAATGCAAGAAAATATGAAATGGTATGTACAAGGGTTGATGTTTGATACCTCAGTGCCCCCCAAAGAACTGGGAGGCAAGGTCGTGGTCAGGAGAGGGCAGACGGCCATCAGGGACACTCCACTCGACCGGGTTCACTCACTCGATCGAGCTTGCTCTTGGCTCGATCGAGTTGTGCCTCGAGTTGGTTTCCTCTTCTTCCTAAATCCGTTCCTGCAAGACTTAGCTGAGAAAAATGCAGAGATAAAAGATAAAAGGATATTACAAGATAGACATGGGAATTCCTCCCAAGTGAGCTTGTTTTAGGTCTCATAGCTTGACCTTACCTTTTAGGCCGGGGTTGGATCTTGAAGAGGAGTGATGATCTCCTCTGTGGGGGTCATTCCTAGATATGGCTTGCATCTATGCCCATTCACTGTGAATTCTTTCCCCTCTTGATTGAGCAGAGTGAGTGATCCCATAGGGTAGAACTTCATGTCTTGAATGGTCCCGACCACTTTGACCTCAACTTCCCGGGAAACAACCTTAGCTTGGAGTTAAACAAGAGCACACTGTCCCCAACCTTGAAGTCCTTAAGGCGAATCAGTTTGTCGTGGGCTGCCTTGGTTCTCATCTTGTAAATCCTGGAGTTCTCATAGGCATTCATTCTTATTTTTCCAACTCAAACAAGTTCATTACCCTCCTTTCTTGTGCTGCCTTTATGTCAAAGTTCAGCATCTTTACTGCCCATAAAGCCTTGTATTCGACCTCCACAGGCAAGTGGCAATCCTTCCCATATAGCAAATTGAAAGGAGACCTTCCAATGGGGGTTTTGTAAGCTGTCTATAAGCCCAAAGTGCTTCATCAAGTCTTGTTGACCAATCCTTTCTAGTGAAGCTCACAGTCTTCTCCAATATAGCCTTGATATGTCTGTTGGAGACTTCAACTTGCCCACTGGTTTGAGGGTGATAGGGTGTAGCAACTTTATGCTTGACTCCATAGCTCTCATCAACTTCTCAAACACCTTGTTGATGAAATGGGAACCTCAGTCCGAAATGACAACCTGATCGCGGGATCAGGTCTTCCCCTTTCCTATCCCTGATTCTGCAAGTGCACAGGTCAGAAGTAGTAAACGGGTATCGAACACAAGGACCAGATTGCACACTACAAGTTATGAGTTTGAGAACAAGCTAGGGCAAAAGTATAAGTTGGTTGAGTGCAGAGAAAGTAAAGCATGCAAGTAATTAAAAGTGAGAATTCAATAGGAGAGAAAGGCTAAGCAATAGGATAGTCTTGAGATAAGCAATTCAAGAAGCATGAAATCAATCAATTAGGGTTACCGCACTTAGGTGCTAATCTAGAACTTGAAACACTATGGTATGATCATTCCACTGTCGAGGCTCCGACCCCTTTGTTAATCTACCTAGTCGCTAAACTTTTGGTATGTCCCTAGGTGATTAAATCAAGCATTAGTTCGATCAAGATCAATTGTTCACAACCTACAAGTAGATCAACTGTCGCAGTCTAAAAGAGATTGCCCACCAAATACTAGTTCAGGCGAATGATACAGCACTGTCGAGGCTCAAATCAACCTAAAGGCATATGCTAATTGGCCAGATTAACAACAAGCATTAAGTATAAGCAAAGATGGAGATTATAAGTAAAACCCTAATTGTGATCAATCATCAAGCATACATGAATGCTATCCTTTGACTTCCTATCACTTAACAAGTAAACTACTCAGACATAGAGAAGGAACACGAATTCATATTCATAAGAACAGAGATTCGAATCCTCTCTAGAAAGAGTAACAAGCAAGAACAAAGTAAAAGCAAGCAAAACTTTATTAAAGATGTAAAATAGATTGTGGTCTCTCTCCTTCTTGAGTTACAAGGCTAAAAAGAAGTATTTATAATGCACTAAGTATGAAAAGCGGCTAAACCTAATCTAGCTAGGTCGGCGCCGGCTTTGGGCTTGAATTGTGCGGATTGGGCTTCAAAAACGGCTTCGGGTCGACCGCGGCGTTCGGACGGTCGGTCGGGTCGGCCGGAGTCGGAGTCTCGGGTCGAGTCGGGGGTCGTGGATCGGATCGGTCGATCGGCGGTCGGCCGGATGTGGTCGGCCACGGGTCGCGGATAGAGATTTGGCCGATGGTTTCTCGGCCGGACGTGGGACGTTCTTTCCCGGCTCGGACGGATGCATCGGCGTGGTACGCGAACGGGTTGCGCGGCCGCGAGGCTTGTTTCCCGGCTCGCGCGCTGGTCGTGCGCGGCGTGGCGTGAAACGTTGTCTTGGCCGACCGCGGGACAATGTTTCCCGGGTCGTGTTGCGTGATCGGCCGAACGGTTAACTTTGGCCGAGACTTCAGTCGGACGAATACGGTTTTGGCCGAGCGCGGAACATTCGTTCCTCGGCCAGCCGGACTGCGCGTTCGGGCGCTGATTCTCGATATAGCCGTCTGGAGCAGCCTTCACTCTTTTGGCTATAACTCCTTTTCTACTCATCCAAATGAAGCCATTCCAGTTGCGTTGGAAAGTTAACTCAATCAGAGCACGCAGGGAACTGGTCTTGATGAAATCCATTGAGTAGATCTTTTTCTAGCTCCATCCAAAGTTGATGCAGGGGCATTGAACTGGTTTAGAGTCCAAATCTCCTGTTTTGCTCCATAATGCACCTTTTTACCTAAAATGACTCTTTGCACTATAAATCCATAAAAACTACCTTTTAACACAAGAATCCACTAGAAAACCATTAGAAAACCATAGTAAAATAGCATAAAAAGTAGGTAAAATAGAGGTATATCAACTCCCCCAGACTTAGATCTTTGCTTGTCCCCAAGCAAAAAGAATCTAAACTAGTGAAGAGGTTTTGAAAAACGTGGGAACTCTCTTGCTTCTTTGAAAATCCTGTGAAAGGTTCCTTTCCTGTATTCCACTAAGAACATAGTCAACATAAGGTTAGCTTCACATACACCCTGCAAGTTTAGCAACATACCAACCCAACTAGTCTCATCCAGCAATCCAAACTCTCTATTGTAACCTCTTGCAGAAATTTAAAGCGTGAGTTCTTTATCAAGGGAAAATCGATCAATTGAACTTGTTCTTACCCACTTGATCTTCTCCAAGATTGTCTTTGAAGTGCAATGAGTTCTTTTCCTCTCTCTTTCTCACATCAGAACTTTGAAAGGTCAATTTCTCCCTACTTTTCTAGGGTATCATTTTATTTTTTCTATTGACCTTTCTTTCAACCACAGGATAAGTCTTTAGCTTGTTCCTTGTTTGATTTAGGTATTCCATAAGACATGAAGGTACAGACATATGCATTCCTCATGCTTACTTGTTTTCCTTGTGCTCTTTGAGCTTTTCTCATAAACATTACTTACCATTTGGGATGGGAGAGAGAGGAGAACTCTTTAGACAAATCTCATTGAAAATCAAGCAAGGAACTGTCGACATGTATGCCAATCCCCTTGACAAGAGTTATTAAGATTGATTAAGGGTGAGGTTAACTCTAGATTGCTTGGTTACCTTAGAAATTTCGCTGAGCTAGCATGCGATCCACTCTAGGAGCTTCTGTTAGGCTTGTGCCTTCAGCTGATGTTTGCTCTAGGGTCATAGATTGTTAGCATGAACACTATCAAATCTCAAAGCAAGTTCATTGTTCCCGGACTGGTTTTGACTCAATAAAACAGAAGTTTTGAAAAAGTGGGTTAGGAAAAACCAATTATAAGATCAAAACAACCATGAACAAACACATTAGTACCGACAATCCCCCCAGACTTAACTTGCACCGTCCCGGTGAAAGAAAATCCAATTAAGGGAGTTAAAGAAAGAGGTAATAAAGTGGTTGTGAATGTAAAAAGAAAGATGTAACCTGATTTGTGTTACTTGAAGAATGGTGAATGCAGTGGAATGATGGTAGTGATGGAATGCAAGTGTGGTGAGGTGGGATGGGTGAGATGCAGATGGAATGAGATGGGATGGTGTGTTGGGCGGCTTGAGAGGACATGGGCGAGCGTGGAGAGGTTCTGCTCGGCCATCAAGTCGCGCCAACTATGAACATTCTTCTTGTGGTATATCTTCTTTACCATTGTGTGGTTCTTAGATTCCTGTTTCCAAAACTCAAAACAAAACTAGACATTAACTAAAACTAATTGAAAAGAAAAGTAAAGAAAAACACCTTTCATGGGTTGCCTCCCATGCAGCGCTTCTTTTTAGTCATTAGCTTGACTGATAGGATCTCTTAGTTGGAGATGGGGTAAGGGCACGGCCTGAGACATAGTCTTTTAGTTCTTGTCTCATTGTGACCTTGAGTGTGGTCTGGTGGCTCTCTTGGGCGGCCTTGGGCAGTGATGAGGTAAGACAGCTTGTTTGGTGTGATGAATGGTATGGTCTTGTAAAAGACTGTCTTGTCACATTGGCTAAGGACATTCGCCGGTTTGGAAGGTCCATGACAGCTCCAGCAGTGGCCAAAAAGGGTCGGCCTAGTATCAATGGTGTGTCACATCCTCCTTGAATGTTTATGACATGAAAGTCCACCGGGATCTTGATATCTCCAATCTCTAGAAGAACATCAATAACAACTCCTCTTGGCTTGGCTATAGTATGGTTAGCAAGTCCAATACTAATTTGAGCAGGTTGCAAGCGTGTGATGCCAAGGAGTTTGGCGGTTTGGGTTGGCATGAGGTTTATGCAAGAGCCAGAATCGCATAGTGTTCTATCAAAGTAATGACCATTTACTTGACAGGGAATAGAGAATTGACCTGGGTCTTCAATCTTGTAGAGGGTCTTGAAGGTTGGCTGAACTTTAGCTTTCTCAAAAAGCTCTCTTATGTCCTCAGGTGTCTCCTTGCAGTTGTGGAAGAAAGGTGGTGAATGGGTAGTGGCGCCAAGCTTGTTTGAAAGACATGCTGGCTGGAAGAGTTTGGACAAACTGATTGAACTCAGCAAGCTTCTCTCTTGATATGGAATTGACATACCACTGAGGTGGTGGTGATGATGGTGGTGATGGTGGTTGATTGACTCCATGAGGGGCAAGGGGAAATCGAGCCTTCCTGAAAAGTTGGTGTATCTCTTCTTTGTTTTCACTAGTTGTGAAAAAGAACTCCACTAGACCATGCTTATCCCAAGCTTCTTCAAAAGTGACATAGAATGGAAGTGATTTCACCTTAGCATTGAACTCCTTAAGCTTCATGGGGCTTATCTTGTTGGGATCAATGGGATCATACTGCCAAGTATCTTCTTCTTCAGTAGGTGGTGATGGTCTTTGCATTGCTTCCAATCTTGGAAGTGTAGAAGCTTGACTTCTTGGTGAGAAACGAGGGTCTCTAGGGCTTGGTGTATCCATGCTCTGTTTTGGGGAAGCATTGATGTCGATGCTCTGCTCTTCATCTTCATCATTCAATTGTTCCTCATACTCTCTTTCTTCTTCTTCATTGTCCTCATGGACTTGAGTAGTGCTTCTTCTTGTGATGGCATTGCAATAAAAGGGAGGGTGGTTGGGTGTTGGACTCCTCTCTCTCTTGTAATTGGCATGAGATTGATGCGGCATCTATGGGATGAGTACAAGTAATAATTCCCTAAGACAACTAGAGTTGCAAGTGCACAACATATAATTGTAGTATTTAGGGGTCGAACCACAAGGGATTGGATTTCACACATTGCATAATCATAGAGTTTAAATGTCTAAGCTAAATCAAAATATGCAAGGGGTTGTGTTTGTGGAGAACACACAAAAGAAAATAACAATGCAAATCTATACAAG